TTACTTGAAAGATCAAGAAATTCAGTCACAATGGACTCCTCCAAGAACACCTCAATTAAATTGGGTTTCTGAAAGGATGGTTAGGTCCATGATGAATTCCAGTCTCTTCCAACATCTCTTTGGGGGTACGCATCGGAAACCTCAATATACATTCTGAATAGAGTTCCATCTATGTTAGTGCAAAAGACACTCTATGTGTTATGGTGTAATAAGAAGCTTATTCTTACACATACTAAAGTGTGAGGTTGCCTTACATATGTGAAGAAAATGGACATTGACTAGTTGGGACCTAAAAGTGAGAGATATTATTTTGTGAGGCATCCTAAGGAAACTAGAGGATACTAATTTATCTTCCCGGGGATATAAAATTATTTCCAAACGAGTGAGATTCCTAGTACAAGACTTGGTCTTTAAGGAATGTAATCGTGGAAGGATAGAACTTGATGGAGTTCAAGAATCACAAAATAACATAGAGGATGAAGACTTGTTAGATGGTCAAAACAAGGATTCAGTGGGAGAATTGAGTAGAAGCATGTCTCTAGGAGGATGTCTTTCAGCTAGTGGGAGTAACATAGGAATCACCTCGCACCAGCAAATGATTCTTATTAAAGAAAATATGACATGGTTGTCATTCCTTCTGCACCCACTTCTCTTTCTCTGGAACCACTTAAAAGTGTAGCACTAGAAAAATCTCCGAGCATTGGATAGTCCAATGAAAGAGAACCTCTTCACAATCAGAATGAATAGCCTGAACAAAACGCAAAACATTCAACTCTGTGGGTCCACCAGGATTCGTCATGAACTAACTAGGTTTGACTTCCCCATGGAGGATCATGATGATGTTGGGATTCCTGATAAGGATGAACCTAAGACCTACACTAAAGCAATATTAGATGTTGATTTAAAGAGGTGGCGAGATGCCATGAAATCTAAAATGGACTTGATGTATATCAATCAAGTAGGGAACTTGGTTGACTTGCCTGTTGGGTTAGACCCATTGGATGCAAAGGATTTTCAAGAAGAAAATTCATGCTGAAGGTAATGTGCAAAAATACAAAGCTAGGCTAGTGGCTAAAGGTTATAGTCAAAGAGAACGAATTGACTATAGTGATATCTATTCGCCAGTTGCAAAACTCAAGTCCATTTGATTTCGCTTGTTATAGTTGCATAATATGATCATGAGATTTGACAAATGGATGTCAAAACCACTTTCCTTAATGGAAACCTCAAGGAGGAGGTGTACATGGTACAACCTGAAGGTTTTATATCCATATCGAATTCTAATTCAATATGTTAATTAGAGAAATCTATTTATGGGCTAGAACAAGCATCTAGGAGTTGAAATATTAATTTTGATGAAAAAGTCAAACCGTTTGACCTTATCAAATGAAATGAGGGTGCTTGCGTGTTTAGAGTGCGTAACAAGGATAGCATGGTCTTTATAATCATATATGTTGATCATAGAGAATGATATCCCCTCATTGAAGTCCGCGAAAGAATGGTCATCCAAAATCTTCATGAATATCTTTTGTCTATGGTAGACAGAAAGAACTAGTAGAATTTAACTATTCTATCACTAGTTTCATGTATGATAAGAAAGACTACGAGTCACAGTCAGTATATGTTTTTAGTCTCAATGTAATAGTAATGCTAGTAAATTCGACAACTAGAGCCTAGTAAATTGTTGCATTTGATGCAACATAGGTAAGCGTTTAGATACGTTAGTTCCTTAAAGAAATAAGGGTAGTTCCTAGCGACAGTTATCCAATAATTGTTATTGTGACTGTACCGGTGCATTTGCACAAGCTAAGGAACTAAGATGCAAAGTAAGGAACTAAAAAAAAAATACCAGTATGCTATCATGTTTTTATAACAAAATAGCAAGATGAGAAGTTGCAATAGAATGCCTTCCCGTAGAGGACAATTTGGCTGACCCTTTCACCAAACCTTTAAGATTCGAGAAACACACTAAACTTTTGAGAGTCTAGGTGTTAGACGCATCGGTGATTGGCACTAGGCCAAGTGGGAGATTGTTAGTATATATGTCCTAGCGACAATCACTTTTTAGAGATATATGTACTTGATCACATTCAGTTTTATATATTTGATATATACGGTATTACACATTGATGATTAAGCATTTCGATTGTCAATGTCTTATTCATAATTGTGTTCCCTTGGCTTATGTTGTCAATAAGTAAGTGGGAGCTTATATGATAAAACATAAGGTCCTAAAAAGGCCCCAATCAATGATCATCAAGAATGGGATATTGATGATATGCGATAAGATTGGTATGTGGACTGCATCATACTTTTAGAAAGTATAGTTGATCTCACGACTATGAGTTCCTGTAATTCATGATGGTCACATAGATATTTTAGAGAATATTGGCATACCCACCGAGAAACCATTTGATAAGTTCTATTCATGTGTCTATGGGATTATCGGCGTATAGAGTAGTGTAATAGTCCTCCGACTTGAGGTCAATACGTACTACATGTGCGGAGTGATGTACTTTGACCATGACCAACGCTTGCACTCCAATCGGGGTAGATACGGCATGTGTTGGGTGCATCACGAAGCACATGGAGTAGTAGTTGAGCCAAGAAAGGATTCATTCCTCATAATAGATTAAGAGAGAACATTCTACTTCTCATATCTAGATGGATCATAAAGTCATTGGCCAATGTAAAGATATATTCGTTTTGGATATCGAATATGATCGTTATGGATCATCTAGAAAGATTGAGAGACAGAGACTGAGTTATTGGGATAGACACAATATCATGTTCTAGACTTAGTTGAATGTTCGTTGAATGAAAGGACCGTATCACTATGAGCTCTATATTACAGGGAGTTTGAATAAGTCCTCGCAAACGTCCTTATATATTAAGTTTGTCTGGTAAATCGTCTAGGGATTCTACTAAGACCTTAATTTGATTAGTGCTCAATATATAAGGCCCTATGGGTCACACAACAAGTGATTATACCTTTCGATTGAACTGTTAGAAGGAATTAAATATTATTAATTAGATTAAATAATATTTAATTAGTAATACTGAGAATGAATTAAATATTAATTAGATTAAACATATTTAATTCATGAAGTTGAAGGAGAGTTCTATCCGATAGAATTAATTAAGTATGATAAATTAGATTTATTATACCTAATTAAGGTGTATTTATTATTAAATAAAGTTGGTATTTTCTTTTATGATTTGGAATTAAAAGAAAAGAAAATGAAATAAATAATAATACTTATAACAAGTAGAGAGTGGCGTGCAGCCACCTCTCTAATGTTATTGTTATTATTATATTATTTTGTTTAATCTACTTATTTAATTAATAAGGAGTATTGGTCCTATTAGGACTAAAACTCATTAATTAGGAAGACTTTCAATGTGATTGAAAAACTAGTTTAGAACTAGTATAAATACACCATTCTCCTTCATAATTCATAGACCAGTTTTCAGATTCAGTATTACCAGATTATTTCCCTGCGAAGAGATTTCCTAGCCTTTCTCTTAGGGAGATCTAACCGTTCTTTCGGAAAGGAGAAATCACGTGGATACCAAAGGTCAAGGATTATCACCGCTAGGCTGGAAGATCTGTAAGTTCTGACTCAGATCTGTCATTATTGTTTTATTCGTTGTTTTGTCATTATCAGGGAAGATCTGTTTTGGAAAATTTTAAACTTCCGCTGCTGTACTTTCGAGGTACGTTACATCAATTTCCTAACAATTTTTACGAGGATTAAATGGATTTAAATCCCACGTATGATTATTAATAAGTGCATTAAACTCCTCTGCCATAGCAGCTCGTCATTTAGCATTTTTATGTGTTACAGAAAAACAAAAAGGATCACATGTCGAAATATCTGTTTTGAGAGTAAAAATAGATTAGGTTTAAAAATTCTCGACTTAGCTTGGGTTTGCATAGGATGACAATCTATAGGGAAAGGTGGTGGTGTGAAAGCTGGATTAGTCGAGCTGTGAGGAGTGGATTTGTCCAAGAGAGACAGTGGCGTGGAGACCGCAGGTGAGCTGGGATCGGTGTGTGCAGCGGTCGTGGAAACAGAGGAAGGGGTGTTGTGTCCGGTTGGTGTAGCAGGCTGATAGAGAGATGAACGGCGACAATTGGCAGACTGCTCACCAACGTCGAAAGGCGAGGTGGCGGGGTGGGGTCTAGAGGCAGTGGGTAAGGGGTTCTCATGAAGACGAACAGTGCTACGCTGAGATATTGATGGCAATTCCAAATTTTCTGAACAAGAAATCAAATCAGAATATGGAAAATAATTTTCATGAAAACGAATATTCCTTTTGATGTAAATCTTGCCAGTAACAGGATCAAGACAATGATAACCTTTGTACTCAGGGACATATCCTAAAAAGACACATAGAGTTGATATAGGAGACAGTTTATTGGCAGAAGTGGGGCATTAAAATTCGGAAAATAGGCCCAACCAAACACACATAAATGAGAAGTCGGGAGGATGGTGGAATAATTTTTCAAAAGGAGAAGCACCATTTAAATTTGGAGTATGGAGGCGATTAATAATATAGGTAGCCGTAAACATGACATCTACTCAGAACATAGCCGACATTTTTGCCTAAAAAGTATAGTGGGGGTTAATTCAAGTAAATGCCTATGTTTTCCTTCCGCAACCTCATTTTGTTCAGGAGTATCTCGGAAAGACTTGCGAAATAGATAATCATTTTGAGAAAAATATCACACATATCATGATTATCAAATTCACCCCTTCCATCACTTTGAAATTTTTTAACTATGGAGTCAAGTAAATTTTCCACCATTAATTTAAAATTTTGAAAATGCCTCACAACTTCAATTTTATTGCGCATAGGGTATATCCAAGTAAAACGAGAGAAATCATCTATAAATAAAACATAATATTTAAAACCACTCTCAGAAAGAATAAGAGAATGTCAATCGTCAGAATGAATCCTCTCCTTAATAGCACTACAACACCAAAAAACAAAATCCCGCCCAAACCATTCTCATATTACAACCGTCCGATTTGCACATAAAAATCAACGTCACCCCATCCTCATCCGCCTTCTCATCTGTGGCTTGTAGCATCACCCGCGAACTGCAAACACCCCATTACCAGTCGCCGGAATCACCCGGAGTGAGGAATCTTCCCTCCTTCACCCGATTAATATCATCTCCCACCACCGCACCTCTTAATCTTCGTCGCTTCTATTCGCCCGCACCAGTCCACCTCTCTCAAATACGATTGAAGGAGATTCCGCATCAAAAAATTATTCTGCTCCAGCAAGCTGTTAGGGCAAGGTTGAAGATGAAGAATAAGCTCCGAGATGGATTCTGATTTCATAAAGGTTATGCGTTTTTCTCTTATTTGAATTTAGTCAATTTTCAATTCATTTTTTTAAGCTCATATTTTCATTGTTTTTCTTTGCCAATTTATTTGATTATAATCACCTTCTTTACTTTGAAGGCAGATTCTATGCAGCCTCAACATACTCTTCTCCAAGTTTCTTCACTTTTTCACCCTTTTAAATGAGAAAATTAGCATTTTTTGTCTTTGGAGGAAATTGTATTAGGGTTGTTTTCACATTCTTGCTGAAATGAGTTTAGTTGCCTTCATGGTGTTTTCAAGTAAATTCTACCATTCATTTGGAATGAATGAAATATATATTAGTGTGTTTATCTTGATATTGCATTAAGATTGTTTGGCTAGAATGTGACTGAGAGCTTATTGTGAATATAATTTGATAAGAATTCTAGAATTCTAAAAATACTAATGCTTCTTGAATGAAACAATGGATTCTCTGGCCAGAGATGTTCACACTTTATGCTAACCAAATTTTTCAGCAGGCCCTAAGTTTAGTAAGTTACTCATCTAATTGTTAAAAGTGAGACAATGAACTCATTGAACTGTACAACGTCCTTTTCTTTTTGTTATGTTTGTTAACACAGAACAACACGAAAAATGTACCATGTTGGTGAAGTTAAACCATTAATTATACTTCTAGGGATTTCAATTATACTTCTAGGTATTGCATATGTATTTAAGATGCTTTTTAAGGGCTTAAAACTATGGTTTCCATATATCCCGATAAAGGTAGCTAATGTACTTTAAGAAACTTTAATGAATTTGTTAGCAGACTTAAACTCAACTATTTTGCTTGATCTAAGGTTAAAGGAATTTTATTAGCCTACATACTCTAATGAATTTGTTTAGCTTCCGTTTTGCAGTTTACCACTTCTAGAATATCATCTCCTACAAGCTCTCAATCACCATTGGTAATGGAGTATTTTCTGCTTTGGATCAAAATTTCAAATCCATTACAGGTCAGAATACTATAATGACTTCAAATGGATCTTCTTTGGCAGAAAGAATTTAGGGAAATGAAAAATAGCAGGAGAGAATATACCTTCATGTATAAGGTATTTAACTATTCTCATATTAAGGGACTATAAAGTTGTGTGTCTTATGTATATAGTTTTAAATGTCTTTACTTGATATTTCCTCCATAAAAAGATATCAAAGTTGAGATAAGCAAATGGCTAAAACACTGCCAAGTCTTATTTAATCTCCACCTTTCCTTCGCCTCTTTCACCCAAAACAAAAAAAAACCCATTCATCTTCCCTTCATCTCTTTCACCCAAAAAACCCTCTGTGCAATTCATCTACCATCGCAACCTCCTAAGAAATTCTCCCTTTTGCAATCTCATCTTCAAGTTAAGGTTTGTTTAGATTATATGAAAACTCCTACTTAGACTTGGTTGAAATGTGTAAATCTGATGTTAAGATCAATCTTTTCTTTGTCAACAAAACTCATTGACATCTTATGTAGCTTATGTGATTTAAAGTGTGTCTCTTCTAATTAATTTTTGTTTCTTAGATTTAAAGTTAGCATATTGGATTTTCTATCTTCTTTATTTGAACGAAACTCTGTTTTCCAAAGTATCTTTTTATACTAAAAGCTTGGAACTAAATAAATGCATTAACTATTTGACCGTACTTGTGTGTAGTTAACTTTGCTGTCCGAATTGTACGCAAAGGAATGTTGTGAGATTGCCAAGGTAAAAGATTAACTATTTGACTCTAGGAACACTAATGCTTCTTGAATGAATTATGGATTTTCTGGCAAGTGACTAAGCTGCATTTTTGTGTCTTAAAAGCTGCATTTTTTAAATCTACTATCTTAATAGTTCATGTTTATAAATGATGCATTGTCTCTGAGTAAGCAGTTCAGATTTGTTCATCATTTCATTTTCTTAAAGAACTAAACTATAATCTTTTTAAACTGACTCTTTAGTTTACAATGCACCTAAACTACTTCTCAATTAATTTGATCTCAGATATTCTCAATCTAAATAATAAAACAGAAACTATTCAGCCTCTCATATGATTAGTTTTAGAAACCGCCTCTCAAAACTTAAACAAACACAACTACTTGCCACCATGAATTTGAAGGTAAGGGGAGGGGGGGGGGTCTGAAAATTCATCTGCACGGTAGAAGTTTGTTGAACTTAATGGCATTAGCCTTAACTTTATTTTTATGCATAGACTAATCTTAAGCTAAGTTTTCTGAAATCTAAATTGTTGAAATATGTTAAATTTCAGTGAAGAAATGGAACACCGTTTCTTCAGTTCAGATTAATTGGTTAAATTGATAAGAAGAAAGTGTGATGGAAAATAATACTTACCATATCCGATGAGTTTATTTCTTCATGCAACACACACCAGTAAGTACATATCCTTAGTCATTTAGCTCCTAATTTGTAAGAGTTATATGACCGAAAAGTTTGAATCTTCTTAATCTTCTAATATAAAATACATTTGGTGAAACCAGTGTAAGCCAAATAAGAATTTTATAGGCTACTTATTCTCATAATACGCAAAATAAGCTAATTCATGTTACTAAATGTGACCAACTGTTAGCACCAGCCAATATTGTTTTTTTGTAGTTTACTGAAAAAAGCTCTTAAATTTTCCATTGGTTGTTAACAAGACTACAGAAAGTTCCTCCAGACAATGAGTTTGGGAAACGCTTAAGACCATAGAAGTCATCCCTACACATGAGATTTGACTAACTTTTGAAGTTGCTTAAAGGAGTGTTCTAATTCAAGTGTTTGAAATGAAATAAAAGACTCTTAACTGCAGCTCCTAACTGCAAAAACTCTTCTGGAAGAGCAATATTACAACAAATGTGAGTATAAGGTCGATTCAACAACCCGTCAGTAGTATTTATTTGATATTTACATATGCCCTTAGTTGAAGAGGAGGTCGGTACTTATAAATGATGGGCTGAACATTGATTTTGTTTTTCAACATTTTTTATGCATCAGTATATTTTATCTACATTATTCTCTTTATATTATTTCTCCTCGTCTTACATTATATTGCTAAAAAAGAAACCATTTATTGTTGATTCATTTTATCTTCTAAATGAAAGTGATATAAAATCTCATTTGCAGACAGTTAGTGATTGCTTGGACCAAGGGTTATTTTGATGATGGGTATATCAATAAGGAGAATACAGGTACAATTTTAGAGCTGCAAGATTTCAAAAGACTCCTTCATCTAAAGGTTGTACAATAAGGAGTGGATTGTCTTTACAACTGCATTAAAATGAAGATCCTCTTTATTTCTATTTAATTTGTTATTCAAATCTTAAAACATCGAGGGCGTACGAATGCCGTTTACTCAAAGTTTTATCCTTTGAGTAGATTGCAACATTAATAAATGTATCTTGGGGAAACAGTCAAATAAGCACCATTACTATTATAAAAAAGTCAATTAGATCCCCCAACTCAATCATCATTCAATTGAGTACCCCAACTTCAAAATAAAATAAAATCTGCCTTTTTAGAGGTCAACCACCGGTTCTCTGGTATACATATACACGTGGCCTAATGTCTCAAATCCTTTATTTTTCTTTTTCTTTTCCCCCCTTCTCTTTCCATTTCTTTCTTTCTTCTACTTCGTGTCTTCGTTCGTCCCCACTCAATCTCTGTTACACCGCTGAGGACACTCCCTTTCTTTTCCTTCTTTCTTTGTTCTCCCATGACACCCTCCCTGCTCCTTTCTTCGTACGTTTAGGATACCCCTTTCTATACACACACACATATATCAATTGACCCACAAAAAAAGACACACACACGAATAATACATACACATAAAAACTATTCAACAACAACGAAACTATTTAGCTCCATTGCTCCAATTTCTTCTTCCTTAAACAAAACAAAATCTCAATAAGCATGATTTCATAGCTTTTAGACCCAATTGTAAATTGAATTTGCCTCTGAAACGAAAGAAAGAGGAGGAGTATTTTTTTGAATATTTCATTTACTCTCATCACTATGTAATAAAATCAATCCGTGCGTGCTAGAACCAGGGGCTAATGCACTATATATTTGGCAGTGTAGAAATTGATGATGATGATTTTCTGCCCAAGAAGCTGGAGGTGAAGCTCTATGGAGTTGATTCCCGAAAAGGATGGAATTATCTAGGCTGTTTACAAGGCAAATATATGTGGCAAAGTTGTTCAAGGTCATATCCAGAAAATAATGAGAAATTGAAGGGATGTAAATATGTCTACAGCTCGAAAAGGTGGCTTAGAACAACACCCAGTTTTAGCAAAGAGTAAAAGTTGTCCACAGCTTACTGGAACCAGTTATGGGCATTGTACTGCTTTACATAATGGTATCTTTGATGCTCACGCATTGCAATAGCTTACCAAAAACTCTTGTGTTTATGTTGAAATCAGGTTTAGAACAATGGTGAAGTTAAAAGCATACCAAAAGTTTGTGTGCATTGAGAGATTGAAGGGTTTGCCCTGTAAAAGCGAAAGAAAGTGTCATCAATGTTTCTTTTGATGAACAACGTTTAAGATTGCTTTGGTGGAGTGCATTCAGGAATTTCTTAGGTTTTGAGAATGAGCTTCCTCAATGTTGATAATTATGGTTGGGAATAGTGTTTTAGAAATGTTTGAGAGGCAAATTTTTTAAAAACTAAAAATTCAAGTTTTAATGGGTGTAGAGAAGTTTATTTAACTTTTAAAATTTGAAATATTATTTAGTCAAGTCATCTCGTGCAACGCACGGGTAAGAATACTAGTTTAAAATAAAGGAGCAACAAATTTATGCCACACTTCTTGAAAAGGTAATCGTTGTGATTTTCCTAACCGACAAGAAATACAATCATGAGAAAAATTTGACGTACTAAGAATAGTTCTAGACTTTTTAAATTTATCTAAAATACGACTGTCATAATGTCTCAAGCGACGATGCCAAATTGGTTCGCGAGCAACATGAGAGCTGAGAGCAATTGGCGAAGGGTGAGTACCAGACGAGGAGGCAGCCGAAGCACCGCCTTGGCGAAGACAAAACGAAAAAGGCTGGAGCTCCCATGGCCATATCTAAGCGTTGATGATATTGGAGTCGAGCCTCTTGATGGACAAGTTTGGTGCATATGGAATCAAACGCAAGACCTTCCAGAAATAATGTAAGAGGACCCATAAGTGACTCATAACTCGGACCCAATCCCAAAAATGCATGTTGCCTGACATCATTATTAGACACCGGAGAATTAATGAAAGCCAAGGAATCAGCAATGGTCCGAATTTCAAGTAAATATTGATCCATGTATTGATTTGTCTTCTTCTTGGTATGGGATAACATTTGTTTGAATTCCATGGACCGAGCCAGACTGGTTGCCATAAAACGAGATTCCAAATGTTGCCATATGGCTGAGGAATTTTTCAACTGATGAACCTCAATCAGAATATCCCTAGAAAGTGTGGCAAACAGCCAAGAATGAGCAGTCTGGTCTAATTTCAACCAATGATAATATTCAGGATTTATAGTCTGAGCCTGATATAATCATAGGTATAAAATGGTGGGGTCGGAAGAGAGCCGTCAAGTATGCCCAAAAGTCCGTTGGAAATAAAAAAGGATTCAAATTGAGCCCGCCATGGCAAATAGTCTTCTACTGCCAACAATTTGATGGTAACAATGGTGGTAATAGAAGAAGCGCCAAAACCCATACCTTGAACAAGAGTATCGAATGACGTGGGTAGCGACAGATGAGACGTATGGCTGCCGACTGGACCAACGAAAGATGGGGGCAGCAGCAGGATTGGATTCCCGGAGAGCGTGGGTCCACAAAGCGCTGTCCTCCAGTGCTGCTGGACTCGGCGACGGCATCGTGGTATTATTAATTATGAGAGGAAACCTAATAATAACGCAAGTTCAGGGATACCAGGGCCCTCTAATGAATTTAGAGTCAAAATGCAAATTTGAGGCCCTAATTTAAAATTAAAAAAAAAATAAAACAAATTTAAATTCTTATTACACTCAAATCAATTGAGTACTCATTAAATAATATCAGTAACAAGTTACATGTGGCAATTTCTCCCTTTCAGATAATTAGTCTCTACAATTTTTCGTAAAGTATTTCAATTTATGAGGGCATTATTATACGGAGTAGTGGAGTATGAGTTTAGTTGCAACTGAGATCATATACGTAGTATATACTATATACTCGTATTATTTAATACGAGATCATATAATTTTATAAAATCATCTAAAAATGAGAGTTTATCAAATCATAATTTCATAATATACATGTAATTAAACAATTTCATAAAAAGCATTTAAAACACATAAACATATATAAGTGGGAAAATAGTAATTTTAGTTGCAATTGTACTTACCTCCACAGCTAGCTTATTCAATTCTATCGTGTAACCTTGATTCTCTTCAAATTCTTCCTCTAATAAATTAGAATTAAAGAATAAATAGCTACTCAGTATTTTCTTGGTCTCCACAATTAATCAAATTTAATTTCATAAATTTTATTAACGGTATAATCATTAATTCCTTAATTTATTTAATTTTCTTCTAAATCCAAAATTTTCCCAATATTATATTTTTGTTGTTATTTAAGTTTTAAAATTGTTCTATGGCCAGAATATTATTTATATTTTCCATATCTTTATTTATTTATCATTAATATCACCTTCTTTCTATGTAATTACATAACTTTCTTAACTTTCTTTATAAGGCTTAATTAAGTCATATATTTAATTTAAAATCTAAAAAAAATCCATATGTAGTCCATAATTTTATATATTCACCATTTCCTTCACTAATTTCATTTTATAACTTATTATAATTAGGTTTACCCTTTATTTACTATTAACTAGTTTCGGTCCATTAATTTAAAATAATACAAACATCAGTTTTATAAATTTATAATTGACTATATTTAAAATTTAATCATATATTTAGTTTAGGTTGTTCAGATAAGTATTTTATTATTATTTGCATACTTATTAATTTAATTACTATATATGCTAAATAAGACCCAATTTATTTAATCATCTTACCCATATTATTTATTAAAAAATATCATTTTGAGTCATACAATTATGTTGGAATACTCAGATATATATTTCCTAATTTATTTCATCATTTATCTAATTATTCCTTTAATATAGACTATTTGGCCCAATAGTAATAAATACATTAAAAATAGAAAATATTAATATTTTTGAATTCTGGCTTAATAGAATATGGATTTTTATATTAGGGATTTATTTTATATTTTTCCAGATTTTATTAATCTCATTCACTATTTTATTTTTAATTGTTAATCAAACTGTGATGATTTGGCCCAATTACCCGACCTGGTCCAGAAGGCCAACCCGATCAACCTAGGTTGTCTTCTCCGGCGAGTCACGTTTCCGGCGATCGGAAACTGGAAAAACTTCGCCAAGCGATATCTTATCTTATAGGTGACGGTTTTGGATGCCGTTTGTTGGAGGTTGTTCCTCTCTTCAAGGCGAATCTTCCGCTACGTATCTTATAGCATATAGGCTCCGTTAAACGGTGGCCCATTTTCATGGCGGATTTCTCCTTCTCACCATGTTGGAATTTCTTCTTTCGTCCTTCTATCACACTCGTTACACTCTCAGGAATATTTTCAAACACTTATAATCGAACTAGAACGAGTTTAATACTCATGTCAGAATTCTACCCCTATTTATAGGTGAAAATTCGAGCATGGGGTTATGGGCACTTTTAGAGAAGTCTAATGGTTGGAGAATGCATATTGGACCTCCTAAACTCGTCTCCTAAACTCGTTAGGGACACAAAGTAGGTGATGAGGCGGTCATAGTAGCTAGAAGCAGCTGCATCATGGTCGTCAGGTTGTCCATGTCCGACGATGTCACATACGAACATCTGGTGGTGATTTCTGGTTGGATGGAGATGCAACACCGTCCAAGGAGTCCAATGGCATTGACTTGAGTGAATTTGGATGTCTGATTGATTTATTATGAATTATTTAGGTTTTATGTGTGTATATATATATATATATAAATATACACACACACATAAATTAATTGTATTCGTTTATATATATATATATATATATATATATATATATATATATATATATCGTATATTCCATTATACATATATATATATATATATATATATATATATATATATATATATATATATATTCCATTATACATCTTGTAAATTAATTGTATTCGTTTATAAATATTCAGAATAGTTTTATAGGGTTAAATATATTTTTATATGTTTATTTTATATTTATTCTTATTTTTGTATTCATTATTCATAGAAATATATTTATTTATTAATTTTATATTATTACTCAATTTATATGTGTGTAAATATATACTGAATGTTGTAAAGAGTTATAATTTTTATCTATTAATTTCTATTTTTAAAGAGTTATATACATATATAGATACTTGTGTATTAATTAATTTAAATTTTATTATTTAAAAGGATATTTTAGGTTTATATGACTTATATGAAGTCATATAGGTGTGTAGATGTCTTTAGGAACCTATTTGGTATTTGTGAGAGTTTTGACTTGTACAACTTTTATTTTTATCTAATAACTTTTATTTGTTTTATTTTCATTTCATTTTTTTAATTGTTTTCCTTTGGTATTTTGCTCCAAAATAAACTTGATAATCTTTTTTCAAATTTTCGGTGTATTACAAGGGTTTTGGCGGCCGGGAAACGCATTAAATGCACTAGATATACAAGATTTGGTGATTGTGAGATGAGCCACTAATGATCTTCCACATCATCACTACCACACACCCCATAGTAGTATAAATATAAGCATTTATTTGTTTATCCAAAAAATATAAGCATTTATTTCATTTTTAGGGATTGTCAATTTGCACTCTTAGATTTAGCTCTTTGTTCTTCTATAATCACAACTTCAAATAGATGCTCAGCCCTCGATCCAGTAGAGTGTGCTGTAATTGTTCTCAAGTGCTTAATAGAACGCGATCCACCTACTGTCTTCCCCCCCCCCCCCCCCCCCCCCCCCCTTTGCCGAGTACTTGTGCCTTTGAACCGTTAGTAACCCACAAAATACAATCAACCCATCAAAATATCCAACGAAAGCCCTAGGATAAGTGTTGGACCCTTGAATCTAGAAGAATAAACCTCAACAATACTAATAAATGATTTTTTAGTGTGAGTGTGATTGAATGTGACACACACACCATTATACATACATATACATACACACTAGTATGTATACATATATAAGTGTTGCTCCTTATATAGTAGTGTGTTTGAGTGCATGTAGAGAGAGTGCTTGTGAGTGTGCTAGTGCATTTAAAGTAGAGATTTTGGTTTTTAAATAAAATTCATGGTTGGGCCTTTAGGAGAAATTGATTAATTTGGATATTCTTTTTATCTCTAAATTATCTTTCAAGGTACATTAGACACGGGATTAAGATAATTGATATTGTATAATGGAAAGTTGTGCAGATAAAAAATGTACTCCCTCCATCCCAAAAAGGTTTGCCAAATTGACTTTTTCTTTGTCAATGACAATCAACTTTGACCAATGATATTTTTTAATATGAAATT